TGAGCTTGTGTTTGTTGGTAACTTCCCAGACTACACATACATTTTGCTATTGCTCTGGGATTTTAAACTATTTTTGTTAAGCTTTGCAATTTACCTATATCTCTTCTGCTTAATCATTTTGAACATTGGTCCTAGTCCTATAAAGGGAACATATCCCTCCCTTCCAGTGAATTTAATGTTTCCCTTTGTTCTTTTGCAGGTGTCAGCATGGCACATGGGAGTGCTTTGGAGTTTAACAAAATGATTAAAGCTGCTACTGGGAAATGTCATGTTTTCCTATTACGGATGTTACTGTGGATTAAGTGGAAAGGAAACTGCACTAGATGTTACTGAAAGGAGAAGCATAAAATTCTGTCTAGCTACAGAAAACACTTTTCTGGACAAGAGCCAGCTACTATCTGTCTGGGATCGGGAAGAAATTTCCCTTATGGGCAGGTTATTTTGTAATTGTCCCTTATGGGTTTTTTGTACCTTTCTCTGAAATATCTGATACTGGTCACTGTCTGAAACCTCTATTCTTCACAATCACATTCAAGGGCACAAGCTTAACTCTAACCTTAGCAAATTTAAGATACTCTACTAGGAGGCGTGCTGTCACTTTAAAAGTCTAACCAAAAAGGTGGGGGGTAAGAGGGTAAAGTGTCTAACTTTAACTGAGGGACTGGATGTGTGCATCATGGGTACTTGTATGCTGGCACTGAAAGAGGGTTTATTGTGCAGACGACAAGTATATAACTGTATTTGGGTATAGTGGGGTTTGGGTGGTAAGGCATGTGAATTGTGGTTGTCTTGGGTATTCATTTTGCTTTACCTGATGGTGGCCTTTTCCCTATAAGGCTTATTTAACTTTTTTCTCCAGTTTAGGGTTGAGTTAGGGGGAGAAGGTGTGAGATGACAAGAGTAAAATATCCCAACTCTCGTATATAATGCAGTGTAGAGAAAATTTTGAAACTTTGTGACCCAGGCCTGATTTTTGTATGTTTCTCCCTCAAGGTGCTGCTATATCCCTGACTGCTGTCAAGGCAAACAAAGAGAAAAGAACTTTAAGCCGGTACTGACGAAATAGAAGTTCAGCATCAGCGATGGAAAAATCATCTGCAGTGAGTACTTTTCTGCTGCATGGACAAATTGCATTGCAGTTTCTTTGTTGCCCTCAAGTCCATCTCCATTTTATCTTTGGATTAATGTTAGCGGGGGCCTGGAAAAGCCAAAAGAGTGAAAATTGTTCGAAGGGCTGGGCTAATGTCGCTACTTACAGTATGTGACCCAGGGTAGAAAGAAATGTCAGCTCTCTGTGGTGATGCTACTACAAAAACATCCCAGCGTGCAGTGATGCCAGGGGGTCGATTCTTTGCCCCAGAACAGTGCAGTAAACTCAAGAATATAAATTCCATCCCAAGTTTAAGATAATCTCTCTCTCTTGATAGCCGTATTGCATACTGGGATGTTTTTGCAGCAGCATCCCCACATAAAAAGCTGGTTTTTCTCTTCTTTGTAAGCTTGGTCACATACTGTAAGTAGGTGGTCTAAAAGACCATTTCTAAGTAATATTAAATGATAGGCAGACTGAAACATACACGTGGTAATACATATGCACACACACACATCATTGTGAGGGAATAACATAATAAAATAATAGTGGAAAATAGCATACAAAGGGCCAAATTCATCCCTATGATAATTCCATTGACTCCTGCTGATTTGCAGGATGTAGTGGCCCATTGGCTGTTATTTTCAGTACTGTTTGTACAATTTCTTCTCTCAGCATTCAGCACCGTCTCCACCCACTAACTAAATCAGCTCATTAAAGCAGGTACAGAAGTGGGCTTGTTAAACTTTTATAGCATGTAACCTACTGAATACTCCATTGTTTTTCTTTTAATCTTTCTAAGAATTCCCACCTCCGAGTGATCAAACATTTATAGCTATTGTTATCTTTTCGGTGGCTCATACACAAGGCCTTCAGTTGAAACCCCACCCGCTTGTGGCAAGCAAGAAATTCCATCCTGCGGTGGCTGCCTAAGTAACTAGCACAGCTAGAGATAAGGAATGTACACAGTGAAACAGCAACGTAAAAACCTTCACCACGTCAACCATGCTACACATTATGGAGGTTGACACTGTCAAATCTTGTAGTGTAGCTACAAATCAAAGTGATTTGGGCAAAGACTCCACTTCAACCCCACTTCTGTTCGCTCTGTGACTATAAGACTAGTCTGTGGGCTCATTTTCCTCTCACATTGGTGCAAACCCACAATGAGGTCCAAATCGATTCCTGTGTTCCCTTTGGTCGATGGCTTTATGCACTATTAGACTCCACAAGGAGAGCTGCATGTTATTTGGGACCCCTTGTACTCCTGTTGCTTGAGGATCAAGATCAGCTGGGATGCTTGAGCTGACGGGGCATAGATTTGCATGTCAGGAGGTGGCAATACGGTGTTCATGGTGACTCTGGAACTCAGCCACCCATCCACCCACTCCCATGCGGCAGAGTCTGCATTGGATGACCTTTCAGGCACTTTGCTTGGGGAAACAGCTGATCTTTGCATTTCCTTGGGGGGTCACTTGGGTGGGGAAGGCATTTTTCCTTTTCAGTGGAAGTGGGAGGAAAGATTGTCAATTACCAGTGTGTCAGTGATACTGACCACTGATGTGTGCTTACATTGTTTTATTCAACGTACCAAGAAATGCTGTCCTCCAATGAATACCCTCTGAGCCCCTACAGGCGCTACTGGCTCCGCACACCCCACAGGGGACACCTGTGTGGGGGGCGTTTGGGCTGGGTGACGCTCAGGGTGGGAGGGGAAATAGGACACAGGGTTCTCATGCCCTAGTGAGTCTGACTCATAGGGACCATTGCCGCTGGGGTTTATTTTAGTGCCGGGGTCAAACTGGCCCCAGCAGCCCTGAAGTTGGCCAGGCGCAGGGCACCTCCCCTTCAGCCCTGTCTCAGCCCTTGTACCAGCACAGGGATGGGCTTCAGCCAAGCAGAGGGGCACACGCTGAAATCCAAAACATACATAAAATAGTACAGGGAAGATAGTGAAGAAGCAGAAAAGGGAATCAGGGTGCTAAGGACTCTCTGAATATATAATTTGGAGGCAAAAACTTGTATTAATTAGAAAAGAGATTAGTGATAATACTTAGTACTCCTGATCTAAAGATCTCAAATTCCTTTCCGAACATTAACTAATTCAATGTCATGGCAACTCTTCCCCCTCCATCCACTACAGAAGTGTGTATGTAGCTAATATGAATACACGTTCATTGATAAGGGCCAGATTTTTAAAGGTACTTAGGCACCTCACTCCTATTGAAATCAATGGGAGTTAGGGCTGGGTGTTTAGATTCCTAAGTGACATGTCCAAACTTGCACAGGAGGCCTGTGGCAGAACAGGGAATTGAATTGAGGGCTTGAGCTAGGGTCCTAACCAGTGGATGGATTAGTCTTTTTCTCCTCCAGCACAGATCCCTTGCTTTAGTTACCAGTCCCTGCATTTCTTAAAACCTGCAGACCCGCAGTCCCACTGCTTACAAGTTATTCTTTGCGGAGTCAGGCAGCGGGAGGGCACAATCGCTTATAACTGTTCAAAACTTACAAAGAGTTTAATTATTACAAGAAAACAGTGTGCAAAGAGTGTACGTAATGTAATATTATCAGTCATGCCGATCACGGCAGTGATAGGGACCAATCAAGAATGGGTCCACAAACGTCCAATGGTTTTCATTGACATTAATGGAAGTTAGGAGCCTACATACTTTTGTGGATCTAGGCTTTACAATCTAAATAGACAAGGTAGATACAGAGTAGCTGTGATTGGGCATATGCTCCACACTGGCAAATAAAGGGTTAAAATGGAGTCTGAGGGCCCAACCAGCCTATTCAGTGGCACCTGGAAGAGAAACAGCTAATTAAGGATTAGACCCAACTGGGGAGAACAAGACTGGGTGGGCCTATAAGGGAAGGCCTGCAGTGCCTTGGGTGAGACTGCAGTAGGGAGCTTATACCCTGTGTCAGGCCCTGAAAGGAGAAGGGGGTCTAGGCAGCTGCCAGAGAAGCTAGGAGTCACTTGGAGAAAGTTTCTTAGCACAGACAAGCTGCATGGAGAGCTGAAACTGCAGGGAGAGGGGGCTGGTGAGTACAGCTCCATGACAGACACCTGCAAGCAGGTGAAGGTGGGAAGTAGTCCAGGGAGCCAGTGAGGTTCATAAGAAATAGACCTTAGCTGCTTCTCAGAAGAATCCTGGATAGGAACCCACAGGAAAGCATTCTCCTACACTCCCCTGCCCCCCATGGGAGAGGTGATGTAAGCTATGGGAAAGGCCACAAGGACTAGTGAGCCCAGACAGGGGCTGAAGGCCTGCTAAGTGGTCACTCAGTCTCTGGGTTTTTGTTTGAACTTCTTTTAGTTAAGGGGCCTGTGCTGAAAGGTGACCTGGCTGGAGGGCAATTTCTATTCCCAGATGTGGCCCTCGGGCCAAAAAGTTTGCCCACCCCTAAAGTAGAGCACTTAGCACAAAGGGGAGGTAATCTGGTGTAGGTGCTAATGGAACATAAGGGCTAGCCTGTGATTTTAGGCTACATGTCTGTGCAAGGTAGGAAGGAGGAGTAAATGCTGATTTACAGCAGTTGAGGATCTGGCCTACAATTTAAACTTGGCTTGGTGGGGTGTGTGTGTGTCTGTCTCTCTCCCTTTTTGAGAGCCCAAGAGGAAAAGAGGGTACAGCACCCGCAGAGTTAGTCCTCATGGTGCTGCTCCTCATAGGATTTAACTGGGTGAATGGTGATGACTGTATAGCTCACTGATATCCTGCCTGAGCAACTTCATGTCCATAGCTACTGATACCTCCACAGACAGGGTACGTAAAAGCCAGCACCTTCTATTGCTTTAACTGTCCCCAGGGAAGAGATTGCTTCACTTGGCAGCTTGGTGGTCTCTTTGAGGGGTTGAGGAAGGGGCTCGAGTACTTTGGAAAGAGGAAACATCTGTGCTTTGCAATCTGTTGTGTAGCCAGACGGCGAGTAAAGCTTTATTTAGCAACTGGGGGTAGATCCTTTGCAGAAGAAATTGAAGTAATAACGGTATCCTTTGTTATAGCTGCTTGCTTCCTTTCTGAAACACAGGACCGCTGTCCGGTCACAGTCACACGCTTGCTTTGCACAGGTGGAGTTAGTTGTATTCCCTGCAGGAACAAAAGCATTTCTCACTCTACAACTCTTGTGTGGTAACTAAAAGGCAAGGAACCCACTCGGAGGCCAGGTGCCGAGCAGCTTGTTCCTTCCTGACCTTCAGCGCTCCAGATGCATGGATGAGGTTTAGCGAAAGAGGAACGAGGCAGCCCTGTTGCTCTAACACTGCCGGGAATGTTGCAACACTGCTGTTGGCATGGCAGCAGCTGGGAACGCTGCAGTGGTGCCATCGGCACTGGATTTGCTGCTCCGTTGCCAGCTTAGGTGCCTTCCCAAATTAGCAGAGTGCAGCCGATTCTCCCCTGCCTCGCGTAGCCCACTGGTGAGTGTGAGTTACAGGCCCCTGCTCTGTACCAATCCCCAGAGGCTTTGTGTTGTAGCTGGGGCAGCAACAGAACTTCAGCAGCTCGTGCATCTCATTCAGGAGGTCTCCGGCTCAGTTCCCAGTGTGTGGGCCAAGATGGCAGCTCTGACGGTTGCAGTCATGCCCACTTGGGCGTTGTGGGTATAAAATGCTAGAAAATCAGAATGGCGACATTTTACACCCGTCTTCATAGGTGTAAATACAGTGACCGATGAGGCCCAGTGGCTCTGGCACGGCAGCACTGGAATGCAAAGGCACTGCCGATCCATCACAGCTGCCTGCACTGGAACTGGCATTCAGTCCCTCACAGCTCAGAGGTCCTTAACGGTCGTCCTTTCCACTTGCTCTGCAAGAGGTCACCCTAATTGCCTTGGAGGTTGTGAGAAGAGGTAGGTGGGGAGGAACCAGAAGGACCTGAAGTACTTTCCCCACCCCCAACACTAGCTATCCTGGAAGTGCTTTGCTTCTTCCCAAAAGCCCCTCTGACCGTTTCTCTTTAGGACACATTTGTTCCAATGTCATTGTAAAAGGTTCAAGCAAGAGAACGAGGTCCCGTAAATCACCACGGTATCCGTGGCCATTTTAGCCATGCAGAAAATGCTACTCACAGCACATAACGTCTTTGTTGATGATGGAGTATTGATAATCATCAAAAAATGGGTGACAGCTCTGGTTGGTTAACTCCGTATAGCAGCAATCATGGGCATGACAGCACCTTCAGGGAGACAGAAACACAGGAATAGGGTGGAAAATGTGACTAGGTGAAGTAATGTCCAACATCACCACTACTAGAGGGGAGAGTGTGAGTGAGCCTTCCAAGGAACAGAGTTTGGGCTTGGTTTGGAAAAACACCCAGGAGCTCAGATGTTTATCCCAAGTGATATTCTTAGTGCTGCTCTGTGCCTCAAATCCAGCTCCTGTCCAAAGCTGGGTGAAACTTTTTGAACAAAACTTTTTTTTTTTCCAGCAAAAAATGCAGCTGTGGGTTGACTGGAACACTTTTGTGAATTTGTGTTGAATTTGCTGAATAGTTTTGGTTGGGGGTGGAGCCTTCAATACTATTTAGGAAAAATTGCAACATTTCACTTCAAAATGAACTGTTCCGATTTTTGATTCATAACTGTTTTAAAATGTCCTTCCATTTTAATTTAAAAAACCCTAACATGCCAAAAATCAAATCTAAACAAAACATTTAGTTCAACCTAAAGCAACTTTTTGATTTGCCAAAACATTAAAGTTTGTTCTGGAGGTGGACTGAAATGGTTGGTTGGTTGGTTTGTGGTGGCAGACTGAACCAAAAAATCCATTAGATTGAAAACTCCCTGGGGCAAGGCCTGTCTTTGTTCTGTGTATGTACAGCTCCTAGCACAAAGGAGTCTAGCCTGAACCAGGACCCCATTGTGGTATAATACAAATAAATACTATTACTACTAATCACACAGTTCTATTGGCCCTTTTAAGATTCTGGGGATGACTCACCCCAGCATGCCTTGACTACAAAGGAGTTTCCATTCTCACATAAGCTGGAGAGTTGAGGCGTTCTGCCCCAGAGTGCTAAAGGGCTTAGTGCAGTTACAATCCTAGGATTTAGATGCTCAGCTAACTAAATCAGTGCATTGCTAAAATTAGTATTGATACTAGTAGTAATAATAATGGATGCTAGTATTGATACCAGCAGCATTGACCTGAACCAAAGCTTACCAGTCTGTCTTATCCAGAGGCTGCCCTCTCCCACCCAGTCCACAGTGGCATCCATACACATTGTAGAAAATGAGGGCACTTTTCCCAGTAATTCTCCGGATCATGAATTTGAAATCGAGGAGGCTGCTGTGGATCATGGTCAAAACTGTGAAAGAGCAGAAAGGGCTTTTCACGAGTTTCCAAGGAGATGTTTTGCCTTCAAGGAGAATCATTTCCCTGATCCCTCACCTGACATACGGCGGGAGGTCAAAATCACTAAGTATTTAGTGACTAAGTGAGGATTGTTCTGCTGCTGCTTGCACGTTAGCTCTAACCCAGCACGGGGGGATGGGTCGTCTAGTGGTCAAACCACTGCCAGGGAATCAGGTAGGGTGACCAGATAGCAAGTATGAAAAATCGGGACGGGGTGGGGGTAATAGGAGCCCATATTTAAAAAAAAAAAAGTCCAAATATCAGGACTGTCCCTATAAAATCGGGACATCTGGTCACTCTAGAATCAGGAGCTATCAGTTCAATTCCTGCTCTGCTACAGGACCCTGCCAGCAAGCACTCCAACACACAGATAGTCACCCTGCCAGGAGGTACAGAAATGGACATGGGCACACAGTCACACTGCTGGGGTGAAGACTCCCACACTGGCACGGATGGATGATAAGGAAACATGCTGCTCATGTAAAAGAGAACCTGGAGCATAAATTGTTGGAATCGCCTAGCTTCAGCCCTATTGAATAGCCACTGTATACTGTGACAGACTCTTCCACTATAGCCTAGCTGTTTTAAGTCTGCCAGGTCCCTCTATCTATGTACTTATGTGGCCTCCACAACTGTAATAGCTGAGTATCTCACACTCTAATATATTTATCCTGACAACATCTGTGTATGATTATCCCTGTATTACAGATGGGAGCTGAGGCACAGAAAGACTAAGGGCCAGATGTTTAAAGGTACTTAGGCACCTCACTCCTATTGAAATCAATGAAACAGCCCTCCAGTCCGAGCCCTGCAAACCCAAGTCGGCTGGCACAGACCAGCAGCAGGTTTTTTCTGCTGTGTAGATATATTCATCCAGTTCTAATGGTGTCCAGTTGGCCTGATGTAAAACAAAAATGAGGGCTGAGAATGTGAGCCTGGGTCAGAGGATTTCATTATTTTAGTCCATTTCCTGATATCTAATCCATCCTGTGAATCATTCTCCTGTGAGCGACGCAAGTCTTCAGAAGGCTTGTGTGTAGTGAGCACTGTCTTTTGTTCTGTGTCCTCAAATAAACCCAGACTCAGAGTGTTTAATTCAGGAAAAGTCTACATTCACATGTCCAGGGCTGGAATTTCCCAGAGGAACAGGGGAATAATGCTGCTTTGGAGTGAACAGCAGGAGAAAGAGCCAACACAGGAGAACCTAAGCTGAAGATTGGGGAAGTGTCCAAATGCTGAAACCTACTTCACTGTGGGAAAGTCCCCAACCCAGGGAGATGAGGGAATACCTTCTGCTTGAGGCTGGGCAAAGCACCCCTGGTTCTATATCAAAGTGCCCAATCCAGCTCCCATTGGGAGTCTTTCCTTTGACTTCACTGGAAGTTGGATTGGGCCCTAACATGTCTTTCTAAAACATACTCAACCTCAAGTGCCTGGGCTCAATGCAGGAGGTACTGAGTGAGGTTCTGTGGCCTGTGTTATGCAGGAGGTAAGGTCATAACAGTTGCTTCTGACCTTTAAAATCTATGTTGGCATAACGGTAACCCCCATAGGCATGTGAATGGAGCCAAAGAGAGAACATAAAGAAGTGGAAATGGAAAGTGAGTTTGGAGGCCCTTAGCTGGCACTTCTAGTTCGAAATCTGGTTCAGTTAAAGGTTGACCTTCATGGAGTGGAAAATACATAAGGAAGATATATATGGCATGGTAAAGCTGCATTCATGGTATCGAGGGTGTGGCAGGCTGAATGGTGGAGATGTTGGGAAATAAGTAGATGTGAAATGTTTCACTGAAGCACACAGCATCAGGAGCCTATGGAGCACAGCCTGGGATCTACGTCGCATTCTCCAATAGGCTTTGCTAGTTTTGTTGGTGCACAACTCGGGTTTTCTTGAAACTGGCCCCAGCTGCTCTAGCCCAGTGATTCTCAACCAGAGGTACCCCTAGGGGTACGCAGAGGTCTTCCAGGGTGATAACAGCTCATCTAGCTATTTGCCTAGTTTTACACCAGGCTACATAAATAGCGCTAGTGAAGTCAGTCCAAACTAAGATTTCATACGGACAATGACTTGTTTATATCGCTCTATATACTGTACCCTGAAATGTAAGTGCAATATTTATATTCCAATTGATTTATTTTAATTATATGGTAAAAATGAGAGAGTCAGCAATTTTTCAGTAACCGGGTGCTGTGGCACTTTTGTATTTTTATGTCCAATTTTGTTAGCAAGTCGTTTTAAAGTGAGGGGAAACTTGGGGGTACACAAGACAAATCAGACTCCTGAAAGGACTGCAGTTGTCTGGAAAGGTTGAGAGCCACTGGCCTAGCCTACGCCAGGGCTCAAGGCAGAGCAGACCTGCCCTGAGATGGAAGCTGTAACC